ATGGGAAAGACTTGATTAACCTCTGCATGACATGTCCTGGCACCACACCTACCAAACGATGCCTGACGAGCCCGTGAGTAAGGCAAAGATGGGGTTGTGATTGCAAGGAAATCACTCAAAAGCAAAATGATGCCCTCAGCGGCCCCACAGAGATGGAAACTGGAGTTTGGGAAACTGGGAAGTGGCTTTTGGAGGAGTTCAGCTTTGCACATCCTTGCAACTTCACAGAAACATGAGGAAATTTGGGGGTGAAAGCTTTAAACCCTCGGATGTGACTCCCGCCTAGGCAGAACATTAAATGTGTCTTTAAACTAAATTTCTTTTATCTTGCCACATTATGGTAAGATCCTGTAAACATCGCCAACTATTTTACACTGGAAAATGTTACAAAGGAAAAGGCTTCCAGAATTAGGATCTAATTTTCTTATTTAAGACCCCTATATTCAGGGCACTCCTCTGGCTTTAGCTGTGATCCGCTGACTCGACGGCTCACCACACTGACAAGGAAGGTGTCCTCCTCACCAGTTTTAAGCACAAAAAGTTTTAATGTGGGGAAGATTCAAAAAGCGGAATTTGCACACTAATTTAAAGCTAAAACACTGCACACCCGAGTCACAACTGTTGTCTCCTTTTCCTCTCTCTTCTTCTTCCCCCACCATCCACCTCCTTTTGTTGTTCCTAGATTTAAAGATCAGCCAGCTTTGTTTGCTATCCAGCCTTATTTTTGGGGTAAAAGGGGTCGATGGAGAAGCAGGAGAAGGGAGGGATTGGCCTGCATCCCTGTTAAAACCCAGGAGCGGACAGCCAGCTTTCCTCTGGCATCGCCTTTCAAAGCCCATGCCGCAGTCAGCATATTGAATATTTAATGTCCTGATGAGCATTTCCACCTGCTGACACAGGCAAAGTGACAGAACAATACATGCGCTGGAACAAGATCATCAATTGACTCCCCAGTCAGTCTGCCGGGTCAGGCAGTTAAAAAAAATAATAATATAAAATAATCTGTCTGTCTTTCTCCCCCGCCTTGCCCGGGGTCACACATTGCTCCTCTGAGAAGGATTCCCACCTGAAATACATACTTCTTTACATTCCATAGCTTGCCAGGTTCATATGGGCATATAAAGAAGTATGTCTCTCAAGCAGGTAGTTTCAATATGCGCATTTATATGGTCACAGGAGGAAAAATAACGCTGATTTACAATTTACATCCTGAGAGTGAGTTACGGCTCAGTTCAAACCAGCAGACTTTCCTCCTGCCCAGCCCATGTGCAGACACACACACACCCCAGCTCCCTATCCTTGCCCGTAATGCTGGGCTGAGCTCTCGGCAGATGATGGATTTTGGGTCCTGGGAAGGGGAACTGCATAATTCACTGGACACAAAGCAGCAGAGGTCCAGTGGCTGCCCTAGCAGGGGCTCTTTGAAACATAAACGGCACAGAGTAAAAGCCAGCCTCCCACTCCACCTAAAAAGTAGGTGTTTCATTCTATATCATAAACTTCCAGCATTTAAAAAAGACAAAAATGTGGTTTAGAGGAAAGCCTTTGCTGTACACGCATATGGGTTTCATTCCAGACAAAGCCATGTGGGAGAAAGTTAAATATCTATCAATTCCCAATTGCCTCCATCCTACAATTTGGAAACAAAAAGCCAATTTGTTTTCAGAAAGCCAAGAATCGAATGGCAAGCTACTGATTTACAAACCACCACCGGGAAGGACTGCTCCTTTCGCCAGAGTAAGAGAACTCATCAGCCCCAGACACGCGATTGCTTTATCAGTAAGTAGAGATTAAAGCATAGGAAGAAGAAAGCATCTTACCTAGTGAATCCAATGATTTTTCCTCTGCTGGTCACTGGGAGCGAGACACTACCCCCACAGATAAGCAACCCCCAAAAGACAGCACACGCCTTTCAGCACGTTCAGGGCATTAAAAATAATAAAAAAAATAATTAAAAATTGCTTCTAATAACTCATCCGGTTGAGCTCCACGCCAGCTAAGGGGCTTTGGGAAGACCTGCAGACATAAAAGGCAGCCAAGGCGAGGTGCTGGGAGCTCGGGCCAAAGCCTTGCCGAGTTCTCCCCGCATCCCCCGTGGGCTGCGCGCCCCGGCCGGCACCGCGCTGCGCCCCGTGGGGCTCGGTCCCGCACGCAGCCCTGCCCCTGCCTCTGCCCCTCTCCCTCGCCTCCCTCGCAGCCGTGCTGAGCTTTAAAGCTCCCTGAACAATGTGGGCCGAGTGGCAGGGCTGCGCTGGCCGCCCGGGCTGAATGGGAGACTATAATGGGCAGGATTTAGGCAGGAGCGCGGCGGAGGTCACGGCGGGCGCTGCCTGCTCGCTCAGCAGGGCGGGCACGGTGCCTCCTCACCTGCGCCGATCGATACCAATTTACAGGCAAATGTGCAATGGCTGCCTCCGTGTTAATGAATTTTACCGTTCCTCACAGTCTTCTAATGAACCCTTTAAAGAGGGTTTAAGTAAACTTAGCAAGTGGCAAACTAAGCGCTTTGGAATACCTAATTGCATCGATGCGTCTCGCTGCTTTTTAAAATATCACTGCCGGCTGGGGAGCAAATATTTCCCTGCGCCCCATCGACTTCCAGTAGCACTGAAAAGCAAAGGCCACACAGAGTCCGGGTGTAAATCCGCTGTGCTCAGCCCCAAACCCCAAAAATCGCTTCACACCCCTCATGCAACACCAGCACATGCCTTGGTCTTGACTCTGTGCAGCTTCCCCTTCATTCCATCAGTTTGTTGGCCCTTTTAACCACCATCATTTGTCTCATTTAAAGGCAAATTTCAACCTTTAGTTTGGATTAAGGGGAAGAGAGATGGAGCTGTGGCACTGGTGTAATGCATGACTGCAGTGTATTAAAGCAAAGGGAGAGCTGAAGAGTATAAAGGAAAGTCTGAGTAATTCAGATTTTTAAAAAAACCAACCAAACAACAAAAACAAAGTGTTGGTGGTGGGGTGTTGCACAGCCAAGCGCTCCATGGTATTGAATTTCCTTCAGACTGACAGCAGTAGGACAGCTACTGGCCTTCTTGGGCCGTTAAACATCTGCACCTTGTACCCAATTTGATTTCCTCAAATGCATTTGACATGGGCTGTCCTAAACAGTCCCCAACTTCTGCAGACCAGCGGGACAGCAGCTGCCAGCCATCTAAAGCGAGCCCTGTGGAGGAGCTTTAAAAAAAATGACCTTATAAATCCTTACTAGAACTGAAGACAATGACACGACCACGGCAGCAGAGTTCATCGCGGCGACTGAAATTTTCTTTGAGGTTCTGGGTGCAATCTTATGCTTTCCAGGGTTGTGCCATTTGGTGGAGGAGCAGACAAATGGCCGTGATGGTGCCTTTAATGTAACACCAGAGGCACCCTGTGGATCCCATCCTCCAGCTACCACCAGGAGTAGAGTGGTGGTGGATGAACATCAGCCACTATCCTCAACCCACTTGGGCTCGCTGAGCTCCTACGCTTGCTCTTGACAGAAAAACATGCGCAATAAAACTGTGGCTGTTCTGGAGAGAAAAATGGATGGAGACCTGGATCATGCAGAGGCCAAGGGGCAAATAAAAGGGGAGGGAAGAGCCTGAGGTATTGCCTGAAGGTGAAAGGGGAAGGAGAGGGGTGAGAGGGATGGAAAGCAACATGCTGTATATTATATCCCTGCTCTGCCCAGGGCTCAAGGTGCTGCTCAGGTCCAAGTGTCAAAGTCAAAATGAAGCTGTGTAGCACAAACCTTTGGGGACTTTGTATCCAGCCCCTGTGTAGGGCTGGGCACCAGAGAAGGGAGATGCCAGCAGGGCCGAGGTGGAGGCAGGTGCTCGTCCCAGCACAGCCCATGGCAGAGAGACTGGGCTCAGACCTTGGGAGCCACAGACACAACCATCTGCTCGAGAGGAACCCAGCAATTAAACTGACAGCACAAATCACGGATTTCTGCCTATACAATTACACAGAGCACACTCCCTCAGGCACAGGCACACATATACCTGTATCCACACTCCCCACACAGCCTGGAGATGGGCTGTGTCTGGGTCATACATTACACCTGCTTGTATATAGCATTTATATACCTATGCATAAAGATGCATATAAAATATCCGTATGCATGCTGTAAAACATACCTAAATCTGCATGAGTGTGTGTGTGCACCACAGGATCCACCTCACCAAACTGGTGTCTATATATCCATGTGATAAGTACCACCACTATCATATAAAATATAATGACCACAGTCAACTCTGAGTTGCAGAAGCAATAACAGTCAATTGATGCTACACTTCATGTAACCTGAATTCCAAACCCTTGCAGGGAAACCTAACTTCTCCTCCTCCCCATATTCCCTTTCTGATCGTCCACAAACCATGCGCCTGCAATTAATACTCATTTATCGGCATTTTAACAGTTAATCACTACAGCATTGAGATCACTGCAAGTTAGGCTAAGTTTAACCACCTCTCACCCTTTTGCTCTGCCTCATATCAGCTTATAGCACTAGTTTGTTGCAAATAAATAAATAAAACCCCAATCCCCCCAGGTGTCATTAGCCAGGCTGTGTCTGAATTAGGCATTTAAAGGCCGGTTTAACCTTGCAGAACGGTTGCATGTCAAAGTTCTAACATTTCAGTTCAGATTATTCTAGTGCACTGCTTGCTCTGCAGTTTGTTAGTTTTTGGTTTTTTGTTTTTCCCTTTTTTTTTTTTTTTTTTTTTTTAAATGCGGAGTATGCCACAGCAGAACAAAAAAAAAGAGGGGGGTGAGGTTTCCTAAGCGATCCACAGATTAAACACACACCCAGCAAATCCCCACACAGGCACACACACACACATACATTTGTGTATGCAGAAGCCCACATTTAAGTCCCCGGGTAAGTTGGATTGGCAGGTAAGTCCTGCATTGGCCAGGAAAAGTGTTTAAACCAAGCTGAGCTGGTAGCGGTTAAAGGCAAGACAGGGAGCAGAAGAGAGGGGAAAAAAAAAAAGAAGACATACCAGTTAGGAGCTTCTGTTGCAGCAGAGGACTCACCAGAGCACTAGCTGAAAGCTGAATCAGCTTTCGAGAGTTAGGGATGCATAGAGGAGGGTCATGGAATCACAAGGTAATAATGCGCTTCATGCTGCAGCCGTCAGCCTTCTCCTTATAGCCAATCTCTAATGCAGGAAGGGAACAGAGAGCAGGCCCAGGGATGGGATTAGTCCTCACTTGGAGAGAAAAAAAAAAAAAAAAATTAAAGGTAATTCTTCACAAATTAATAAAACAATAAAGGCTCCTCATTGTCACCCCCCCGGGGGTCAGCCCGGGCTGGGGGTCAGGCTGCGGGGGGATGCACAGGGCTGCGGGGGGCTGGCGGAGGGAGGGGGCAGCTCTGGTCAGGACGCGAGTCCACCTTTCCAGTGCTTATATACCCAACGAAGCATCCCAAACACGCACCCCCGGGCGCGCGGCCCCTGCTCCTGCTCTTCCCTCCCTGACCATATTTAGTCAACCACGGCAAAAAATAGCCCGTCAGCTGGAGCCTGCCGAGCAGGGCTTGGAGTTCAATCGCTCCTCGCAGCCCATTGACTACTGGTCCTGCAGGGTCCTGACTCTGCCTTTTTTTTCCCCTCTGCTATTTTTAGCTAGGCCAAATAAAGAGGGAGCTCATCTTACTACTCTGTGCCGGCCCGAGGTTTCGCGGGGCCCTGGCTATGTTTGGTAAGTGCCAGCGTTGAGAGACACAGAGCGGAGACCTTGTCCATGCTGGAAAACCTTAGGCTGTCTCCCGCTTTGGTTCTTTTCTTCTACTTTCTTTTCTTTCATTTGTATTTCTTCCTCTGTGCTAGAAAGGTTTCCAGGTGAGAAGGTGGGGAAGAAGCTCAAAAGATCCCGATTTTCACCTTACAGAAGGAAGAAGTGCTTTTCAAAAACCTCATGCTGAGACCAAGTCCTTCACCACAATGTCCTGGGCAGCCCATTGTCTGGCCACGTCTGTCCTCTTGTGTCTCCAAAGGTGCTGAAGGCTGGGAAGGTGTTGGAGTTTTTCTGCCCTACACGGAGAGCACTGGGGACCCTCATTTCCAGGCAGGGAAACCCTCCTGTCGGGGTGGCTAATGCGGATCACCAGCACAGTGGTGTCTCCTGGGTTATGAGGCCACAGGATCTTTCCAACCTCCAAAGTTTCATCCAGTGGTACAGCAGGGAGGGGAGATTTTGGCAGTGCAGGCACTGCCCTTGGCTTGCGCCCAGAGAAGCAGGCGAACATCTCTAGAAACTTGAGTTACACCTAGCTTGAAAGTGAAGATGTCCAGGGCCCTGGGGAGGTCACCTGTAGATAGCAGATAAATGATGACAGACGTGGCAATGTCTGCACTCAGACAACCTGTCCTGCTTGCTTGCAGCACACCCCCATTCTGGAGCACCTCCCCAGTCCCATGTCCCTCCCTGTCAAGCTCTCTGCAGGCCTCTACACCTCACTGAGGCTCTCCAGAAGGACCAGGACATCTCAGACCCCAAGGGCACCTCACGCTGCTGATAGACCGGTGCTGTGGGTGGGCTTTAGGGGATCAGGGCTGGAGGGACCAGACCTGGCAAGGGATGCATGTGTGGTGGTGACTGGATGTGGATCTGGGTCAGGAAGTTTGCATGAGCCTGGTGAGGTGCCCAGCACCCTCTGCTCCTATCAGCAATCCATGGAAGTGGAGTGGCGTGTGACAGGGACAGCCACCCACAGACACCGAGCACTGTGACCCCAAAGGACACCCCCACTTAGGACATCCATGTGAGACCATCAGGCAACACTTGTCTGAGGCTGTTAGACTTGTTAGGAGCTGATAGCAAGATATCTAAGGATAGGAAATGCCTGCAGGAGCCACCCCATAGTGCTACAAGGTGGGAAGGGCCCCCAGGAGGTCCCAGAGGTGTGTCCCTCAGCTCCCAGAGGTCCCCAGCTCCGAGGACAATGCCAGAAATAGCCACTAGCAGTGACGTGTCTGCTCTCTGTCCTGGGCTGCTTTGGCTTTTTCTCTGCCTCAGCCTGAGCTCTGCTGGGAACCTGGATTCCCTCTGCTGCCCCCCACTCCAGGACAGGCTGTTCCACATCGTCAGTGTTCCAACAGCCCAGGACAGGCGTGTGGCAGCAAAACCACAAATTCTGGTGTCCTGTTGGTGCCAGAGCCATCTCTGCAGTGACCACAACACAGAGCAGCCCTCAGGGACCTCTGTCTGAGCCCAGGAACCAAACCTGCCACCCCTCATGGGACTGGCAGTGGGACAGAGACTGCAGGAGAGCCTCTCCCCCATCCCCACTCCTCTGCCCCAACATGGTCCTTGTGATCACCGCTGTCCCCTCTGCACCCCCAGCTCATTTTCCCATGGAGCAGCTGGGAATTTCTCCACAATGACATAAACCACTGTTGGGTTTTTCTCCTCCCTTTTTCCATTGTTGCAGGGATGTCCAAGCTGCTCCTCCCTGGACATCAGTCAGGACTGTCAGTTCTTTCCCAGCCCGTGCCCTTTCAATAGCTGAAGCCATGGAAGATCTTCTCCACCCTGACTCACCTCAGGATCACCCCAGGAAGGCCTTTACCCAAAGTACCAGCCCAGCCAGCGCAGGGGAACATTGTCTGGTACTCCTTGGGGAGCACTTGGGGATTTTGGGAACCCAAGTGCCAGGAGCAGCGGGTTCTCGTGCTGTTTTGGGGCACATCTGAAATCACAAAGTGCCCGGGGTGTGTGGCTGCCTGTGCCCCAGCAGGACCCTGCCCAGCCACAGGGGAGCTCCTGGGAACCACTCACTCTTACAGCACAGCCATGCCCTTCTTTGGATGGAGTGAGTTGTTATCACCTCCCTGACAGGTTCCCCGGGGTGGAGAATCCATCCTGACACCGAGATTTGTCAGGAACAGGAGCAAACTGTAAAGGGAGATGAACCAACAGCAAATCTCTGAGATGTGAATTAAGAGATTGTTTAAAACCCAGACTTGGGTTTTGCACACAGATTTCTTCACTAATTGCTTTTAAAAACACACTCACCCCTGAGCTCCTAATGGGACTAATATATCTGTGTTCTCTCCAAAGTACGTGGCATCTTTTTATCAGGACTTGGTTTGGGGCTTGTTCCATGGGCTGATAATGCTGGGAGTTTGGGATGCAGGGAGTGCTGGGAGAGATGGGGCCTGGATGTGCAACCACCACCGTCAGACAGGCTTTATATATATGTATATATATAATTTTTTATACATATATACACATATACCTAATAATATATTCATGTGTGCACATAATAATTCTGCACTAAAACTCCTCTAAACGAAGAAACCTGAGGAAGCTGCTCAGCAGTCTGTAAAACTGAGCCAGTTCAAAGTGATATGTGAGAGATTGCAACACTCCAAACAAAATGCAAGATGTTACTTTAAAAGAACCAGGCTTGGGCTTTTGAATTTATGTAACCTAAACTGATTTTGTCTGTTTAAAATTGTTGTTGCGTGTTGGGAATCTCAAAGAGGTGAGGAGCAAAGCTGCAGACGTTTCCTTTGGAGTCCAAGATTACAAGCCCCTTTGCTTCTCCCTTCAGCTCCAAAGCTGTTAATGGTTTGCTTCATTTTATTAACAGCAGAAAAGAAAAAAAAATTCCTCCTCGGAGCCTGTGTGAGGTGACAAGCTGGATAATAACAGCTCCTTTGGAAGTTTTTATAGTGCATTAGGCAAACATAGTGGATGTTTATAGACTTTTAAAAATGCTGATTATATAAAAATGCATTTATAGCCTTCTAAAATACCAAGCTACTGTAATATAAATATTTCCAATAATAAAAACTAAAAATGCAAATTATTGGCTTGATTGGGGCATTTTTTTAAATTGATTTCTCCTTTTCTTTGGGCCAAAAGCTGATCTCAAGCCATAAGACTGGCCAATACCCTGTGAAATGAGTCAGGTCAGTCAGGTTTTCACATCCTGCAGAAGATGCTGCAATGTCCTGGGATGAAGCCAAAGTGACTGAACCATGCACCCCATTCCCCTTTCCAGCACCTCAAACCCCTCTGGCTCAAGGGAGCTCCTGGAATGCCCACTGCACCTCCCAGCAACCTGCTGGCCCAGCCACCTCCCCTCCTTTTGGTGCTGAGGAGGCTCTTGGTCACCCAGTGGTTGGTCTTCCTCTGTTCTCCATAAGAACTTGTATGAATAATTAATTTTTTATTGGCACAGAAGCCTGAGTGTGGCTCTGTCCTGTTCCAAGCTGATAAGGTTGCTGGGGGTGTGCCTTCTCCCTTTCTTGTCTTTTTTTTTTTCCTTACTTTGACACAAAATTCCATCAGTAGGTGGAATTAGCTTTTGCCAATGGCAGTTGTCTCAACACACATAAATTCTTTCAAAAAATTAAGCTTCTGACAATTTGGCATGTTCTTACCAAAAAATATTCCAAACACTTAGTGAAAAATGAGTTATTCTTTATTTTATAAAAGCAATCCTTTTTTTTTCTTATTGCTTTGTCTTTCATTAATAATTGGGAAAGACCAACTCTGGGCTTTGGAGCTGCCTGCAAAGTCTCCAAAGTCAGCATGAGATCAGGCATTTCAAACATACAATACACAGTTTAACCCAAAAGAAAAGGATTTGTTTCAGTTTCATCTCCCTGGAGCTAATTTTCTTCCTTCTGGTCATTTAAGTTCTATTTTTTAAATAAAAATCAATTTTTTTTTTCAGTGACTCACCTCTCCAGTAACAGAGCCCATTGCAAAATTTCCCATTACTTAAGAAAATCTCAGCCCCAGTGGTGAGGAAGGATGGAGGGAAGATGCTGCCTACAGCTCTGCCACCAGATGAAAGCAGCAATTGCATCACCATTTTGCAACATAACAGTGCTTAAAAACACATCTTGTAACTTCTCCCAGAGGCCAGCTCCAACCTTCTCTGCTGTACACAGACATAACCCATCTGTGAGACACAATTCATGCCACGTAATAAAAAATGTGGGCTAGGGTTTGGGGTTTTTGTTTCCCCATGGTTTTTTCCTTTAATTTCGTGTTTCTAACAAGAGAAAGAAAATAAAATTGTTCTCCAAACTAGTGACAAACTGAAGTGATGTTTGTTGACAGCACAGTAATGACACCTTTTCCCCTCAAAATCCTCATGTGGGAGGCAGGGTTGTGTTGCTCTCCCTTGTTTAATTGGGAAACTGAGGCAGGAGGAGGAGTTGCTTTGCCTGGGAAGGAAAGGAGAAGCCAGGGGGTGTTGGGGCTGTTCCCCAGCCACCTCCAGGGCTTATCAGCCTCTCACTGTTGGCAGATGAAACAGTGACATTAGAGATAACTGAGCCCATTACCACAGCTGACTTGAGTCCATTCACATGTTGGGGGATTTTTTTTTTTTTTTTGCTTAGCAAGATGTGAGGGTTGGGTTTTTCCTCAGCTTTTCAGAAGCTGTGGAATCCAGCTGTGGGATGCTCTCCCAAGGATGAAATACGGCTGTTCCAGGGGCTGGCTGGGAAGCTTTGGCTCTCTCTGTATGCACATATATGCAAATCCAGCATGTTGTGCCTGCAGTTTGCATGTGGAATATAATACTCTTG